ATGCCATTTTCCCAAGGAATCCAGAGACCAGGAGAGGTGATGTAGCTTATTTGAGGAGTTTGCAGCTAGGTTTAGGGCTGCTGGGCTCCGAAGTCTTTCTATCTTGCTCAGTTTCACACCTGTAAGACACATCAGCCCCTCCAGAATGTGTGGTTTATCAGCCTCCCAGGACCTGGTGTTTTTTCTTTCAGGTAACAAGATACTGAGTACGAGCAACAGAGAGAATGTTGCTGCCTGTCCTGAAGTCCCCAGTGCAGACCTCCTGGGAAGGACAAGCCCTGAGCAGGTACTGGCTGCCTGGAAGGTCCTAGAAGCAGAGCTGAAAAGATGCTCACCCACCTGTACTCCTGCTTTACTGAAAACCAAGGCAGCACAGGAGCACCCTGGTGGTAGGGAGCAAACTTAATGGCAAGTCCTTTTTTTCTTTTTTTTTAAGAATTGTTTATTTAATTTTATTTATTCATTCATTTTATTTATTTGTTTATTTTAATTTGATCAGAAAGACACACAGAGAGAGAGTGAAAGAGGGAAAGTGAGAAAGCAAGCCACCAGGTCTGAGACTCGAACCGTGGTTGGCCATGTGGGAATCCAGCGCCCTTATCCACCACGCCACTTGCCGGCCCCCATGGCAAGTCCTTTATCTTTGCTTATTTATTTATTTAGTTAGTTAGTTTAATTTGCTAGAGGGTGAGTGCCCTTTTGGAGAGATACAGACAGAGAGGAAGAGAGAGGGAAAGTGAGAAAGCATCCTCGGGGCTGGCCATGCCGTAATCCCTTCTCCTCCCTTCTGCTCTCAGGATTTTGGACACACACACACATACACACACACACACATACTGTGCAGCTGGCCATGTGCAATCAAGCCGCCTCAATTGCCAGGCTACCAAACAGTATGCCGAATGGAGTGTGTTGTCTGCAGACACAGGGTCCTGCTCCTCCAGGACTCCCCTGAGAGTTCTGTTTTCTTTCAGAGAAAGGAGACTTCCTGTGTGCACACCTTGCTGGCAACAGAGACGGAGCTGTTTCTCTAAATGGTAGATCTCAAGTGTCACCTTACCCTATAGAGCAAGCAGATTTAACTGCCTCTAGAATGCAGTCTCTACAGGTACAATTTGTGGGGGACGCTGGGGCACTTAGAGGATCTGGAAAACTGCCTGGCCCTTTGGAGAGCCTATCTGAGGCTCCACACATGCTGCAGAGCTTAGCCTAGGAAATCCCAGGTTCAGAAAGCAAGGGAAAGTGGCCCCTTTTGGGGTTCCAGGACTAGATGACAAAGTCCTCCATAAGGAGCCAGCCCACAGTGTGGTGGTTGAGGCAGCTGACTCTCACATGGTCCACTGGGCTGTACAAGTCCCAGACCCATCAACTTGAAAAACACTCCAGGCATGTGTGCACACATACCTGAGATCCTGAGAGAATGGAGAAGAGGTTGCAGCATGGCCACCCCCGCCCCCCAGGGTGGGAGTGCTTTCTCACTTTCCTTCTTTTGCTCTGCTTCTCTCTGGTGAGCACCTAAGGGGTGATTTCTTGTTTTCTGTCTCTCTGTTTCTCTGTGTGTCTCCGGCGAGTGTACACGCCCCATAGCAAAAATCTCTCTCAAAACCAAATTAATTAAATAAAGTAAAGTAAAATGAAAAAAGACCTCATAAGGCTAAGATCTGACCACCTTTACTTAACCAATTCCCTAGAAAGCGATTCTCACAGCCCAGGTAGGGATCAGCCCCCAAAGCAATGGTGTCTGTTCATTCTTGACTATGAACGTGAACAATCAATTCATGACAGGCATGAAAACACAGGAACCTCTTAAAATAAATTCTTCCTTGTTCCACAGGACAAGTCTGGGGACTGTCAGCGAGATTGGGGTAAAGCAGCACTTTGTAACTGTCTTGCCTCAGAGATTCACCTCTCCACAAACTCCCCCTCCTCCCCCATCTGTCAGGAAGAAACATTTTTGGAAAACCACTTCCTGCCTTAAAGCAATTTCATAAACGTAGATTTTGCTGGTCAGACTAGCAAACTCCATGCAGAGCTTTGAGGCCAGAAATTACTTTAGGTCTCCCCTCCCCTTGAATGTTCACACACATCCCTGCACACGTGCATGCATACATGTGTGCGCACAAATGCACACATGCATGTTAACTGAGTGGTTCTAACAAAGAGCCTCTAAGGTTCAGAGGTGGGGGCGGAGGGACCAGCAGTTGGTGTAATGGCTATGTTGCTGGACTCCCATATAGTCGACTGCAGTTTGAGTCTCAGACCCGGTGGCTTAAACTCATGCCAGGCACATGTGCGTGCGTGCCCAAGATCATGAGAGGAGAATGACGGAGAAGGGATTGCTGCGTGACCATCCCCCCTTGTGGGTGATTTCTCACTTTCTGTCTCTCTTTCTCTGTCTGTCTTTCTGGCGAGCACATACACCCTATAGCTAAAACCTCTCCAAAAACAAAAACAAGGGCCAGGGAGCAGGGGCAGGTTCCCAGGGACTGCAGGTATCAAGCCTCTGGCTCTTGCAGCCCTCTCTGTCCCCTGAGACCCCTCCTGAGTCTCTGAGAACAGTGTGGGTGCCAGGACACCCACCCCACAGCTGACTGCCCCAGGCCTGGGAAGCAAGACTTATCTCGGCTGGGATAGGAAGCGTGACTGAAAAGGGAAACCCTGAGACAGCCGACCACAAGCCAGTCACGGGAAGGCCTGGTGTCCAGGCTGAGAACATTTAACAAAAAAGAAGAACCGGTCTCTTGAGCTATGCTGGCAGATTTTTCCAGCCTTGTTAACCCTATTCTAGCTGCAGTCAGGATAGGAACAGGCCAGCCACCCACTGATGGAGCTGACTCTGGGCCTGTGACCTGGAAGAACGGCGGATCTGTCTTATATCCATGCCCAGCCACAGCCTGACCAGATGGGCCTCTCTGCGCAGACCACACATGCCCAGAAGGTGCTGGAAAAGGACCCCAGCTGGGCCCATCAGCTCAGGGACTACCTGTGGGAACATCTGCCAGGCCAGCTCCTCCTCATACCACACGTCTGGGACCTCTTTTCCAGGCTCTGCAACGCCTCGGCTGTGACAACACTCAGTCAAAGTCAGCACTTGAACCCTGCTCCCATCAAGTGCATGTTCAGGAGAAGCAAATTCACCTACTCTCAGCCCCCGAAGCATACGTCTGCACACGTCCACTCAGAACAGCAAAGCCCACAGCAGTCCGGGCTCAGAGGAGCGTGGCTCTGTACCCTGGCTCCTCCCTGTCATCCAATAAACATGCTTACATGGTTCCCGCTGGGAAGCAAAGGCTCCTTGGACACCACAGCCCACTAGAGCTAATGGTCTCCCTACCCCCATTTCTTTTTTAAGCTTATTTCTTCTGAGTGAGACAGAGAGTGAGAAGCAGACAGACACCCCCAACGGGGTCTTTGCATCGTGACCCCACCCCAGTCTCAGCCAGCCTGGTTCACAGGCACGTGCGCCCATGTCCGGTGTGCTCAGGGAGGGCCCGGGATACAAATCCAGGATCTTTCCATTTGGGCTCAATGGGGTGACCATTGCACTTCATGCCCCCCCCCAATTTCTTATTGAACTATCTCAGAAGAAACTCTCTCTCTGTCGCCATTTCCACCCCCCATTCATTCCCTCCTCAACTGCCCCACCAGCATGGCCTCCCCAGAATGTTCCCTATGTGGTTAAGTCCCTCGGGCGTTTCTCCGGTCTTCTCTGTGGCCCCAGCCCTGCTCACCCCTCCTACCTTCTTCCTCTTCCTGACTCCCCGGTTCTGAGGGCCCTTCCTCTCAGGAATCG